GGCAAGGAGTTTCACTTGGGCACAGAGCCCACTGGATGTGGGGCTTGCCATGCAGCTCCTGGACTGCCACTTCTCTGACGCCATCGTGCGTTCCCTGGCCGTCAAGAAGCTGGAGAAGCTGGGCGATGACGATGTCCTGCGGTACCTTCTGCAGCTGGTGCAGGTAAGAATCCTTTCCGGCATGTCGAGCCTCATAGTATCCCAAGAAGATCACACTTCCTTATGATTTTAGCCTTACAGCCATGGAACGACTTCATTGAGGATTTTTTGAGCTGAATTTTAATAGATTCTCAGACGGAATCACATCACACCACACAAGCAATCCCTCTAAAAGGTTATTAATGGGTTTCTGTTGGGAATCCCCAACTTTTGTGACAGAGTTTGCGGCCATAAATGGTTGTTTAACGTAGACTGCAACTGTTCCAAACTGCAGATATACGTGTAGATCCTCCTGCGTTCTGTTGTTGTACAGGCACACGCAGTTATACAGTTTACATACATTTGTGTCACAGATGCTATGAGTCTTATAGTGCGTTTTGCATATGACATGTGATTTGTGAATCAAATAAAGCATTTGCATTACAGACAACAGCAGCCCTCTTGTAAATATTCAAATCACCTTACTTGTCATTCTGGGAGAAATAAAGAACTGTGGGAATAGCAAACATGTAGTTCTATGATACCCGTGTGTCACGATTCATCGTGAAATATGGGTCACTAAGCTGCCAGAGTTATCAGGAATAGCATGAGACGTGATCAGCCTTCCTCATTCTGCCTGCTCCTGTTTCTCCTTCTGTAGGCTGTAAAATTTGAGCCGTACCATGACAGTGCCTTGGCCCAGTTCTTGCTGAAGCGTGCCCTAAGAGTGAGTACTGGTTGTTTTTGGGAACCTCTTGGCTCGGTTTATGTAAAATATTAGTCCATAGAATTTGTAAAATGCTCAGCCGCAGAACCTAAGGTGCTCCGGTAACCTCAGAGCCCAATATAACACAGAGCCTGTGATGGTATGACCTGCGTGCAGAGCAAGCGCATCGGCCACTTCCTGTTCTGGTTCCTGCGGAGCGAGATCGCCCAGTCCATGCACTACCAGCAGCGCTATGCCGTCATCCTGGAGGCCTACCTGCGCGGTTGCGGCGAGGCCATGCTCCAGGACTTTAAGAAGCAGGTGGAGATGACGGAGGCCCTGCAGCAGGTCACCCGTGAGATAAAGGCCATGTCCGCAGAGAAATACGACGTGTCGGTGCAGGGTGAGCGCCGCTCGTACGCAGCCGGGTCGCTCCTGACTGAAGACGGAGTATTCTGACCTTATGTAGGTCTTCAGCCACTGTATTTGTCTACACCCCCAAAAAATATTATTCTAGACCCATTTAGCGATTCTTGTTCTTCTACTTTTATACACATTTCATACAAATTTTATAGTCTAGCACGGGGGGGGGCTTCCTGTATTTCTTCAGATTGAAAGTGGCAGCCAAACTAGGAATTCAGTGTCAAATCATAGAATCATCCCTGACTCTGAACATTACTTTACTAAGTTCACGTGCAAGTATTAATGACTTCATGCAACCTTTTTGCAGTTAATTATATTCATGCAACCTTTTTGACTTTTTGCAGTTAATTATTCTATTTAAACAGTGCTGTACTTGAGTCTTGGATGTATATATAATTTATTGATTAAATGACTTGGGGCATGAACCTGTAGGGGTTACATGAAGCCTGTTCTGACCCCCTCGGGGAATGACAGTTGTTTTCCAGTTGAGGCAGAAGCTTGAGAACCTGCAGTCATCGGGGCTGCCAGAGAGCTTCAAAGTGCCGTATGACCCGGGCTTGCGGGCGGGGGCGTTGGTGGTGAGTCAGGCTGCCTCTGCTCACCTGCTCTGCTCACTCCCTGTCGCACTCCCTCACCAGCTGCTGCCTCAGCTACTCATGGCTGTCTTTCTCGACCATCTGTGTTTGGGGACGCATTCGACCCCCCCCCCCTCTCTGCTCCCCCCTGCCCGCAGATCGAGCAGTGCAAGGTGATGGCCTCCAAGAAGAAGCCTCTGTGGCTGCAGTTCCGACGGGCCGACCCCACCACGCTCTCCAGCGATACCATTGGCATTATCTTCAAGGACGGGGACGACTTGCGTCAGGACATGCTGATCCTACAGGTGAGTCTAGTGAAGTGAGTTTCAAAGTTAGCATTTTTAACTACAGTCAAACAAATCTGCTTTATCTCTCATTAGATTCTGCTGATAATGGAGTCTATATGGGAAGCAGAATCCTTGGATTTGTCATTGTTACCTTACGGCTGTATTTCTACTGGCAATAAAATAGGTAAGAAATTTGCCTGTAAAATACTGCTGGGTGATACCATTCTTTTAAAGTAGGGGTCCCCAACCAGCCATTTATCCAGTCCATGTTCCATGTTTTTTTTTTTTTACAACCCCTGAAGTTCACATGTTCTGTTCACATCTTAAATAAATGGAAACGATTAAACATTCGATCTGCCAGCACTCTGATGGTCATGATATTTATGCACAAAGTAAAGCAGTCCGCAGACAAGGTTGGGAAGGCCTATTTTAAAGGGTTAATCCCTAACAAGAGATTCCATGAGGCCTTTGGCGGTTTATGAGCAACGCACTTAAAAGTTTGTGGGAAATTTTCTTCCCCAGGGATGATTGAGATAGTGAAGGACGCCACCACCATTGCCAACATCCAGCAAAGCACTGTGGGAAATACAGGCGCCTTCAAAGACGAAATTCTGAACCAGTGGCTTCGAGAGAAGTGTCTGACCGAAGAAATGGTACGTGCCTTCTGAGGGAGTGAAGCCTGGCTACCCCAATCGGGATGAGTTTTCTCACCCAAGAGGAAGGAAGGAAACACCCAGCTGCTTCCTGGCAGACTCTCGGGACGGTTAAGGCCACAGCTGTGACGGGCTACAGCCCCCTGAAAAAGGCGCTGCTGAACGCACAGCTAAAAGGCAGTGCGCATCGAACGAATGCGCATTGATTACGGGGTATAGATCTGTACAAATGCTCGCCAACTTGGGGTTACATTCTGATGAACCCATCGTAAGATGAAAATATCGTAAGTCGAACATGAACATATGATAAACAAATAAAAAAATAATTTCTTGAGATAACTATATACCAGTAACTGGAAACTAGATAACTGAATACAAGCTCATCCCATCATTAAATGTACAGTACTGTACAAAAACGTTTTACATTGACTTGATTAAGATATGTCATTAAACTCTGTATGCGATGTTTATGCTCGCGATCGCTACAGAGACTGCAAGATAACTGGTTAGATGTTGCCATTGACCAGCATCAGTAGAAAGTTTTCTATGGAACAGATCAAAGATTGATGAGTACTCACTGTACATCTCTATCACACCACTGAACAATCAGAAACATCATGAGTCCATCGTAAAGCGAGTAACATCTCCTGATGTTTCTTCTTCTTTCCCTGCGCCCCCCAGTTTGAACAGGCTGTTGAGCGATTCGTCTACTCCTGTGCGGGATACTGTGTAGCCACATTTGTCCTGGGGATCGGAGACCGACACAACGACAACATCATGATCACCGAATCGGGTACAGAGCTCTCCTTCCCGAATCTACCCGTATCCTTGTTCGGGGCAGAAACACTGGGACACCATGACTTGTCCTGACTTATCAGAATAAACGTCTTTCCCTATCCAGGAAGCCTTTTCCACATCGACTTCGGACACATCCTTGGAAATTACAAGAGCTTCCTGGGCATAAGCAAGGAGAGGGTCCCGTTTGTTTTGACACCGGACTTCCTGTATGTCATGGGCACCACGGGGAAGAAGAGCAGCCCCCACTTCCAGAAGTTTCAGGTACAGCAGAGCTTCACTTCTGGATCATCAAACAGATTCAGCTCAGATACATGTCTCCATGTAAATGTTTCCTTTCAGCAAGACCTTGTTAAGGTCTGCAGGTTCAGATTTTAAGGCCCATTCAGGTTCTCCCATGATTGGTTTAGAATAGTGCTGCATGCGTTTGTGTGTCGGGAACATGTCAACGTCTCCATCTCGTTTCTCCCCGCATCAGGACGTCTGTGTGAAGGCCTACATGGCCCTACGCCATCACACCAACATGCTGATCATCCTCTTCTCCATGATGCTGATGACCGGCATGCCACAGCTCACCAGCAAGGAGGACATCGAGTACATCCGCGACGCGCTTACCGTCGGCCGCTCTGAGGACGAAGCACAGCGCCACTTCCTGGACCAGATAGAGATCTGCAGGGACAAGGGCTGGACTGTACAGTTTAACTGGTTCTTGCACCTAGTACTGGGCATCAAACAAGGCGGAGAGAAGCGGTCAGCCTAGCATTCCCACAGAAGGTGCACCTCAGTCTCACTTATGCCGCTCACGTCTCTGTTTCTGGCATCTGGGTAAATGGGGGTGTTTGCAATGACTATAGTACTCCTACCAAGTAGTGGAAATTAGACTTTTCAATGTCCTACTTTGTAACTGTTAGCACCCTCTGCTGGATGAAGAATGCAACACATCCCTAAATATCTAGCGGTATGTGTGACGTTAGTGCGACTAGAAGCATTATTGAAGTCTGCCATGTAACATGGGGGGAGGCATGGTGGCTCGGTGGGGAGCACTGAGGGTTGAGCCATTGGGTGGAGACTGCATGTTCTCCCCATGTTACGTGGGTTTCCTCCCAAAATCCAATGCCATGCAAAAAGGTTAACTGACATCTCCAAATGGTCCATTTTTTGTGTGTGTGTGTGTGTGTGCGTGCGTGCGTGCGGGTATACCTTACCTTATGGGGACACAATGTCCCCACAACGTGATGAATACCGGTTTTTTATCCTTTCCTGGTCCCCTTAAGGGAAATCTCAATTTAATAAAAATCTGTGACTGCAATGAAAAACTAAAAATGCAAAAACTCTTGTATTTTGGTTGGTTACTTATGGTTATGGTTAGGGCTGGGTAGGGGTTAAGGTTGCCATAGTTAGCATTAGCATTTTTCCCATAGAAATGAATGAGCGGCCCCCATAAGGATATGTTTACCCGACGTGTGTGTGTGTGTGCGCATATGCATGCATGTGTGTGTGCGCATATGCATGCGTGCGTGTGTGTGTGTGTGCGTGCATACGCATGCGTGTCCAAGGTGCCCCCCTGCCTCATGTTGTCTGGCCTAAGCTTCAAGTCCCCTGTGACCCTGACAGGATGATAATAATAAAGATTATTTTAGTAATTATAAAATTAGATTATTTCACTAATTTAAGTATGATTGAAATGTTTTCTATTGCAATTTTTTTTTTTACATGTATTTTATTTTTAAAACTCTCAAACCATTATCATGTAGCTGAGTAGCCGTGTCGTTATTTGTTGGTAAAGTTTATAAAAGACGCCTCACTGCAGCATTAACTGGCGTTAGTTTGAGTGAAGCAGCGATGCCTCACAGGATGCTGAGAGACCGCAAAACGGTCCACTGTCATCTGCATGGAGAGGAACAGACACAAGGTGATCTGTCTCCCTGCCTTGTGTCCAGCCCCTAGTATACAAGCATATTAAATGTATTGGATATTTAATCACATTAACTTGTTAAAAGAAATTTGTGAATAGGGGGGGGCTCTGATGATGATGTGGTGCCCCTGGTCACTCTTGTGACAATATTGTTATTTTACCATTTAAGCTCTTAGATAAAAGCTTCTCTTGGGTAATTTAAGCAAATACTTGGCTCACAATGTCATTACACATATAGATATGTTCACCTGCTCTTCTATGCTGCTACGTTCACTGCTCATTGACCGCACCATGGATTTTATATCTGCCACGCTATTTTCTTTTCCCGAAAAATGAAACACTGCTTGTAATTCCTCCTTTAAAAGCGCGCCAGGTTCGGCTGACAGACCAGTATCACGGTGCTCTATGCCCCCATTACATGACAAAAGAGAGCGAGACAGGGAGAGGTCAGTGCAGACCTCTCTATACAGACCACACAATCTCGTAGGAATCCTGGGTGAACACTGCCGGTTACATTCCTCTCATGAGATTTTTTGACTGCACAGGCTGCCTATTTTACAAAATGTTAATCATACACACACACATACGAGAAAGGAATCTGGAATTAATAATTAAGACATTTCGAACATTAATTCCGGACTTTCTCCCAGGAAATCTAATCGTCACTCTGTCCTTACATTTAGTGTTTATCACTACTGGTTTATTTAGTTATTTACAGATATTAACAGATTCCTGGCAGATTTAAAGGGTACAATATACTTAAGATACTTTTCTAAATTAGAAAATACTTTTCATTTTAAAAATGAACCCAACAACATATGAGGAAGAAGTTTTGTTCCCCCAAATAACATATATGTGGGAAATAAGCATTTAAGAATTTTCCCCAGGAAGATCAATGAAATATATCTTACCTTGTGGTAAATTCCAGCAAATCGTCAATGGTCAAGGAGTCTGACTTGCTGCAGCAGTAAGTTTTGGTCCGCATATTACTTAAATCAGCCAGGAATAACCTTAAATCCGTAAATATACATATAAGCCGTGCAGGTTTAAAACATTTGTCCCAATTTGTCTTCTTCCTCTTAACACTGACGACCCGATTCGGCCACGCAGTGTCCGGCCGGCATACGCATTTGCTGGATGGGAGTTGCCATGGTTTCCGGGGTCACATGCGTGCCGCTGTCGTAGCCAGCAGGAAAGGATGCTACACTCTCCAGAGCCATTTCCACTGAGCCAGAAGGCAGCATTCACTTACCGATAGATATCCGCCAATGGAGAATCTACTGTAATGCTGCATATTTTGTATTATTTTACAGCTCAGAGATCGCCACAAATCACTGCTCAGAAATTTGAGGTCGGGAAGCGTTTAGACGACGATATATCACAAAAAGCCGCATTTTGATTTCTGATTTCTCCTGCGACTGCCGATAGGAATGAGTATTGAAATTCCCGAAGGACTGACCGAGCTCTTGCAAAGCTTTACCCTGGAGGTCCTGAGGAAGCAGCCCGCAGATCTGCTGGAGTTCGCCCTGCAGTATTTCACTCAGTTAAAGGAAAGGGATCTCAAAAGGGGCGCTTTCGGGAATGACAACAATTCGGCTGCCAGGTCTGGAAAGGCAGTCAACTTTGTGGAAGAAGCAATGCAGATCGACTCAGAAAATGGGGAGGACGATGAGGAGGACGACGAGGAATTCGTAGGTAACCGATTAACTGATTTTTTTGCTTGTGAAATGATTGCAGTGATAGTATAGATTTTCTTTCAAATAATTTTTCCGGTCTACCAGTATTCTACATTTCAGGTGGGGAAAAAAGAAATGACTGTATTAACATTATCAATGCAAAGGTTAATACGTTAAAAATGCGTTTTATCACCATGACAGCTAGGTAAAGGGAAGGGAAGCCGGTTTCAGCATGCCGCAGGATGGGATGTCACGGTGTTAGTCTGCCAGGGAGCCTTTATGCACTAAATTAATATGATGGGCACCGTGAAATGCCGCTTCTGACGCGAAACCGCTGGCATTTAAAGCCGCACTCATATTCAGGCAGCACATTAGCTGTTAGTGATGCGGCACAAGTGACTGATAAGCATCGTTTCGTAAAAACGCTGTTATAGCCTTTAGTGTTTGGCCACGTTAAGCGGAGTTGTAAGCTTATAATCACGCGCTGTCGCGATTTAAGGATAATTTCGAATGCAGATCTATATTAGGTGGATCGACAAATGTAACGATGTTCTAGTTTCAGCACAGTTTATACAGCCTAATGGAAACGTGAGACATTTTCACGACGGGGCTCACCCCAGAAAAGCACCGTATCCAGGTGCCTCCGGCGAGGGACCCGCAGTGTCCCGTGAGGGTGACGGCTGTGTAACGTTGTGCGTCTTAGTTACGGTGAGCAGCCCGATATTTGTGTAATAGGTATGTGAAAACGAATTATAGGGAGGGTTCATGCGTGTCCTAAGCCGTTCTCATGATGCAGCAAATCGCTCGTGCACTAAATCGCTAGTGTGTGTCTGAAAAGTGCTATCCCAAAAAAGCCCCGCTTACTGTTTCAACGTTTTGCCCTGTCATTACAAACGGCAGCTGGGCTGTTCGGGCATGACAGCGCTGGTACCTTCGGCGGAAAGCGATCGGGGAGTCCGGCCAGGCGCTGGGGCGTCAAAGGCTTCATTTTCATTATAAATTCAGCTTGCCGGCGCATTTCGCGTATATACAAACAGGGTTTCCACAAACGTGCATTTCGTACAGTGTTTCGTTATCTCATAACAAAATGTTATATGTTATGACTCAGGCCGGCTTTCATTTAACCCGAAATTACCCTGTTATGGACATTCTGTTAAACGAAACGTTCTTTTTGTGAGTTAGCCTATCTAATGGAATTAAATCCCCCAAATCACTTAGGTAGGAGCTGGCCACTAGGGAGTTGATTGTGACGATTTTGGGATGGACGTGTAGCCCCAACAGGCCGATTTAATGTGGATTCATTCTCCACCACCACCGCCCCCCCCCCACCAACAAAAAAAATCTGTATTGAAATGATGAAGTTGTGCCCCGCCCCCAGCACCTCTGTACTGCACCGCTGAACCTGAAGTTGTGAATATATACAAGTATGTGATCAGACAGTACATCTAATCTAAATTTGCTTTATTTTCCAGCTCCCGTGATCAACAGATTCATAAGACGTGCTTCCGGTAAGTGTGATTTGTGCTTCTTTGTATTTTAAGCTTATAGTATAGTGGATAACTATAGATACACCAGGGCCGCGAGAATAAATTGGATTCCTATCAATTTATAAATCACAAGGAGCAACTCCCCCATGTAGGGGGAGTTTTAAATGTTTTAGCATTTGATTTAAATGCATAAATCATACTGAAATGCAGCATGTTGTAAATATTCATATTGCCAGTAATATAATTTCAGTTTAATAACACTATTAAGAAGACGTATCAATTTAATTAGGAGCCTGATGCCTCTTTACGTTCCCTGAATGTTCTTAAGTCGCACTTCTGCTCCTTGAATAGTCCTGTTACGTTATTACTATGTTTATAACACACTGCTCCAGAACTGCTCACACTGTACCTGGGCTTTCACTGCAAGCTCAGCCTAGCTGCCCTTACACCTCGTTGACTCCTCGACAGTGTGTTCGCAATGTGCCATTCATCTTGTATGTCGCTTAGGACAAAAGTGTCCCTTAAATACACTACATGGAAAATGTCGCAAACACAAAAAAACACCCAAATCCCACTGCCTTCTTACAGGTGTTCAGACATTATCAGAAAGGTATCTACAGTTTAGTTATTTATCAGATGCAACAGACATTTTTCTTTTTTGAGAAAGCTGGGTGAAACAGTTCCTGGGACAATGGGAAGGATAGGGACTTTTCTCATGGGTATTATGCTGGAACCACCTGCTGGCAGTGGGCTGTGAACCGGTGACCTTTAGATCACAGACATCGTGTCCCAGTCTGCCGAGCTAGACCCCCCCGAACCCTAAAGCGATGTGGGGAGTGTTGACATATCAGGCCTTATGTGTCAAGCTTGAACTCCATGCCACCTTTTCGGGTTAAGGTCAGACCCTGCCGTTTTCCCTTACACCACTACGTCACTCGCAGTGCGGTAAAATGCCACTGGGGGTCAGGGGAAGTGTTTACTGGATGAATGCACACCAAATTCCTGCCAGGTACCCAGTGGCCATGTGGCCACCCAAGGGTGACAGACAGAAACTCCTAAAGTGGGTCAGAGAAAAGGAGTCCGGAGGAAGTGAATTCCAGCCATTTTAAGGAGAGTCAGCCTCACAAAGCACAGCTGTTTTCCGCTGCAGATAATCACAGCCTTTAGCATTAGCTTCTCAGTCCGCTTGACCGCGAGCACAACAACGCACATGAGAATGTTTTTCATTAAAAAAATCAAGCACGGCCAAGTCATTTTAGAGTTCCAGGATGTTGGCTGCGTTGACGTGGGACAGCCTGCTCCTTCGGCTGGCCGCGGGGACTGTCCGTGCACCGGAGTGTGTTGTGTTAGAAAAGTGAATTGCGTAACACTTTGTTAAGCTATTGGAATGTTCCAGAAGATTCCGTTCTAGAGAAAGGCACAAGTAGTAGCTGTTTTCAGGATGTGAATTTTGATTCATTGTGGGAAATGTAATACTTCAGGAAAATGCGTGCCAGGAATACAGGAATAAACTGAAGCAGGTACTGGTGGGTTGTTTGTTTACTTGTTTGTATGATTCGGCCTGATCTGTCCTTGCATGCATCAATTCACAGAGCAGGAAGTCTAACTCAGCAGAATTACATCTCTGAAATGAACTGCACTCAGCAAATTACTGGGCAAGACTCACAAACATTGTGAGGCTTGTACACAACAGCTCACACTGTTTGGAAACAACAGGCAGTGCATTTGAAACGGTTTCACGCTGTTTTGGGGATTTTCTAGTGCAGCTGCTGCTAACGGCATCTTGTGATGCCCCCTCCAGTATGGTGTCCTCCCATCAAAGCCAGCCAGCTGATGGCCGTTCAGAACATCGCAGGTCTACGTGAGGCAGGCAGGACCGGTCATTGTAGGGTATGCAAGACGCCAAACAGCCCGGCAGAAGGTGCCAGCATGCAGGCTACCGAAATCTGGCCTTTTCCAAACCCAGGTTCAGTAGCGCTGGTGCTAAGCGTGCTACTGTACACCCTCGTCTGTTTTGTCAAAACAAAAACCGTATTATGTTAGCAACTGTATCTCGCAAAGGTTTAGAGGCCACTTCATAATGTCTGGTCCAAAAAGACCTTCGCTGATAGCTACTGATCACACAAAAGAACTCCAGTAAAGTCAATGGTCGTTGCGACTTCCAGCATTCTGAGCCCAAGACGTCTTCCTTTGTGTACCCCTAGGATGTTCCGGCAGATCAATGTGACCTATATTCTACATTTCCCGACCGGGGGGGCATCATTGTTCTGACTATATCCATAATTCCATCATTGTTCTGACTATATCCATAATTCCAGCACCAAGCTAACAGGCACTGGATCAATCCATCTGCAGTCATCAACAAATACATCCAAGGAACATGGAAAGATGGAGAGCAGCCACCTTCTTGAAGGAAATGCAGTTGCGGTAGCGGTGTCACGGATATAGCGCCTTTCTTCCCCCCTGTTGTATTTCATTTACCCTTCTGCTTGATCCCGCATTAAATATCCCACAAATCTCACGAACATTCGTGGAGCCCAGGAAGTGCGCTCACTCCAGGTGACGCAAAATGACATCAGACCAAGTGTCCCGTTGCAGATTTCGCCGAAATGACGGCTATACTTCCCACTGAGTGAGGGAATATTGATCTGAAACAAAGACCTTTTGCTGTAGTCATCACTATCTGGACATTCATAGCAGGCGCACACTTAGCTTTCATCTGCCCTAAAGGGCTTTGACTTTGGGCTGCAGTTCTGTGGACCATATGCTCAGAAAGGTTCCCTTCTATATTAACTTAGGGTTACATACATAGAGGATATCAATGCACATCCCTTTCTAGTGTAGAACATTCCCACATGCAGACTCAACCCTGTACACTATAGACACAATCCAATGAGCAGGAATCAGACCACAGATACAACCCTCCAATCAGCTGTACTCCACTGTAACAACCCAACCAACCAGATGTCACGTTACTACAAACCATCCAATCATTTGTACGCCACTGGCAGAATCAGCTCTAGAGGCAGTCTGATTTAGATGAGTTACTGCAGGACAGCCACACGATTCACAGGAATTACACAACAGCCAGACTAATACAAAGACCTTTGCATCCAATAAATGTCTTAAACACCAGTTAGGAGCTGTAGGACTAAATTGCTCATTTGGCACCGACTGTTTGAGTTTGTGCTGGACAATGGTGCATTTGGCCCGTTTAGTAATGCACCACCTCCTCAAATAAAATGGCTGTTTCTCTTCAGAACGTGGAAAGTCCTTCGTGGGTCCGTGGGGGCTCCACCCTCAGCTCGTGTGTTTGATCCATCATCCTGACATGTTTGGGATGAATTCTGCTTTTATTTCCTTCCTGCGTTCTCTCAGACAGAGGTGTCACCGTTAGAAATGGTTTCTTGATAAAACGTCTGTTTTTCGGTCTTATTCCACATGAGTTTATAAAAGGCCAGAGCTGAGTATCTGCGCTGCTTAAACTCAATTCTTTTCATTCCACAAGATTTCATTTTTCTTGACACTGTGTTCTGGCAAAGATACCTTATTTTAGTCACAAGCAGAACAGAGACGTATGTTTTAAATGATCTGTTTAAAATACTAGAGGTGAACATATTTCTTTCATAAGAGCACTATGATCTTAAGTTATCCGGAAGGATCCAGAATGTAGTTATTTTAATTTCAATAAATGGACATCGATTGTGACTTAAGGGGGTGAAATCAGTGTTTACACATTTTCAATAATGACTGATGCAGTTTTATTAAGGTAGTTATTTTCACGGCATATGATGAGAAACTGTATATCTGCCTGTTTGAACTACTGCAGAAATGTGTTTCTCTAAAGGAATTGCAGCATCACAATCAGTCTGAAACCAAAAGCCCAGGAACCTTAAGGCTACTTGAAATTATTAACAGAACCATACATTAGGAAAGGCCAGACATGCAGGAACCTCCAAACTTAGGAGAAGACAGGCCAGTTCTGGCAGAGGAATAGGAAATAAATGATGGGGACAGTATTTCTGCGTTGAACTGAAAATATTTACTATATGTCTGATTTTTAAGAAGTCAATCTGTCATCTGGCGAGTCTTTTCACAGTTCTGTTTTGAGTATGGTTAAGTGTCTATTAACAGTAAGATTACAGGACAACGGAAGAGGTTTTCACCTGCAAAATCTCACTGTTCAAAGTACAATATATGGCATGTGGGCACACGTTAATCACTCTTCTGGAGAGCAAATCACCAGCGGAGCCATTCTGCTGAGTATGTGTACATTTACAGTACAGTGCTGGTGCATCAATTAACTGGCCATTGAATAAGGTTCTGTTTACTGCAAACAGCATGCACGTACATGTCAGACAGACTCCATCAGGACACTTTAGCTGAAATGCTGTGTAGCCTTAAACCAAAGCCTTGCCTTTGGCAAAGCCCCCTGCCCACCTGTTGGTGTTTCAGCTAAACCAGCATCCAGGGATGTCGTCTCCCACACACAGAAACTGGACTCACTCCTCTTCCCTTGGTTTGCAGTATGCAAACTGGACTCACTCCTCTTCCCCTGGTTTGCAGTATGCAAACTGGACTCACTCCTCTTCCCCTGGTTTGCAGTATGCAAACTGGACTCACTCCCCTCTCCCTGGTTACAGTATGCAAACTAGACTCACTCCTCTTCCCCTGGTTTGCAGTATGCAAACTGGACTCACTCCCCTCTCCCTGGTTACAGTATGCAAACTAGACTCACTCCTCTTTCCCTGGTTTGCAGTATGCAAACCGGACTCACTCCTATTTCCCTAGATTGTAGTATGCAAACTGGACTCACTCCCCTCTCCCTGCTTTGCAGTATGTGCCGAAGCATTCAACCCCGATGAGGACAATGACGACAAGGAGCCCAAGGTAGGAGCAGTGGCTCACATGGCTGCATCACCCGGGAAGGGAGCGAATGTAAAATTCAGTGCGACTCCATGTGTTTCTATTTCCCTGGTGTACATCCCCCGACAGAATTCCACCACTCTTGACGGTTAAAACACAAGTGTTTAGCAGCTTTGGGTGTGAAACAGCACAGCTCCCAGATACTGCTTGGCTGTTAGATGTGATGCAAGTTTAAATCTAATGGCCTATTTGCAGCATTTTAGAAAAGGCATTAAATTGTTCTTATTAATTTCTATCTTTTCATGCCTAAACCCACATTAAGCTACTTCAGTTGTTCTACAGACTAGTAAAAACAAGGTCTCGCAAACTCTTTTAGATCACTCACCCCAAAACAGATGAGCAGAGGCAAAGACTACAGGAAGCATGCAAAGACATCCTTCTGTTCAAGAACTTAGAGGCGGTAAGCTGAGCGCTGGGTCATGGTCCCCCTGAGGTCGCTATGGGGCCTGGTGTTTTCCGTTTACATGCTTCAGTAAGACATATGGCAGCCTTCCTGAGTGCCTCAATCAGTGTACACACCGACTTTAAGCGTGGCTGCTGTTTTAATCTCAGCAGTTGTTCACTGCCTCACAGAGGCAGCCTCACAGAGGCAGACTAACTAGGTGCCTGTAAGTGGCTCATTTATGCCAATGATCTAATTACCCAAATCAATTCAATTTTATATAGTGCCTTTCAGAATAGAGTCAGCCAAGGTGCTTTACATGTGTGTGTTGTAATGCATTCCTGCATAATTTATACAGAGCTATTCAAAAACTGGGAAAAAGGAAGAACGAAACAAAGCTAGATGGCAACAGAGTAGAGGAACCAAAAAAGATCGATTTGATTGATTGGCTTGATTGGCTGGCCAGCCAACCCCCCCCCCCTTTGCTTGCTAAGGGCAAGATGTAAACTGTAGTCAAGGTCAAAGCCAAAGTCCATCAGTGAGTCAGTTATCTGTGCAAGCCTCATGTAAGTTGGCAGATCTCCTGTAGTCAGTCCGTGGTTTAATTACTGTAGTCCTACAGTCATGCTCCAAAGATGTATATCATATGTAGCTTTTATTTCCTGGGAAACAGGAACAGATGTCCCAACTTCTGGATGCCATGTTTGAGAAGCTTGTAGAGGCTGGGGAACATATCATAGATCAGGATGATGATGGCGATAACTTCTACGTCATCGAAAGGTGGGACCATCAGAACTGCTCTGGTTTGGTCGGTAGATCTGTTTCCGCTGGGCAGACACAAAAACATCAATGCTAGTCTTTATCGATCTTTAATAACAATTTTGTCTTCAATATTTATGGGTGGGATTGTGTGGCACTAAGAAGTGCTAAACCTCCCTACTGCCTTTTTCAGGGGGACGTTTGATATCTTTGTGAAGGTCGACGGTGTGGAATGTTCCATGGGCTCATACGACAACCGTGGGAGTTTTGGGGAACTGGCACTCATGTACAACACGGGCAGGGCTGCCACCATCGTGGCCACCTCTGCTGGAGCCCTCTGGTGCCTGGTGAGTCCACGCTCATTCCCTCACATGGTCAAAAACAGACATTCACAGGATGCTGCTTCTTTAAGAACGATGCTGGAAACAGAATGAGGGAATGATTGTACACTGAAATATGCAAGATAACACATTCCCTAAAGACGAATACAAGTCTAAACGTTGCACGCATTGTCACTGAAACATATCGAGACTTGAAGGACACGTTCCCTTTCGTGATTGCTGTTTCGGGGACGCCATTCAAAAAGTCACTTTTGAGAATTTTGTAAGGTTTGCTGCACCTTCATGAGACGTTTCATAGTTTGTGCTGAACACACTGGGCAGCGTAGGCAGGCTTTCTTGTTAGAGACTTCCAATCTTTGATTTTCTCTCTTTTCATGGCGTCACTGGGATATGATTGCTTTTGCATATAGCATCGACGTACGTTAGCTAGCGAGGAGAATCAGAAGAGCGGAGCTAACTAGCCAGTTAGCAGAACATGCTGCTTCAGCATCTCCTAAAGGAGGAACCTCATGGGACCCCATGCAAATATGTAGTTTGAGTGGTGAACACCCATACCATACTACATGTGGATTTCACAATGCAGGACAGACTTACGTTCAGGAGGATCATCGTGAAGAACAACGCCAAGCGGCGGAAGACGTACGAGGCGTTCATCGAGACTCTTCCGCTCCTCAAGTCGTTGGAGGTCAGTGTGGCTGCCTATTCTCGGTACTCTTAAAACTCCATCCTGTATTGTAGGAAAAGGGGGGAGAAAAAGCAAACACATGAAATGCTTGTCATTTATTCCCGACACAGCCGTCGGAGAGGATGAAGGTTGTTGATGTGCTGTCCACCAAAGTTTACAGCAGCGGAGAACAGATCATTTCTCAGGTTACGTTCACACATTCTGGCAACTTGGGCGCTCGCTCACATTGTGACGCCGTTGCATAATTTGCACCGATTGATGCCATGGACCCAGTTGGGCTCCTGAGCCTGCCAAGCGACGGTAAACGCTAAGCTCTCAGCGAGAGTGCGAAATGTGACAGTTTGTGTCCTCATTCAGGGAGATACAGCTGATTGCTTCTACATTGTGGAGTCTGGACAAGTTAGAATAACCATGAAGAGGAACCAGGTAGGACTGACCTTAGCCTTGAATTGTGGTCGTTACTGTTTGATGTTTGGATGTACTACAGGTAACATTTCCTCAGGGTCCGCAAGGCCTCAGGGCCTGGAGAGTATTTTGCGTGGAGGATTTGGTACACGGCACCTAAAATTAAACCCTAGAATTCGCAGCTAAAGGTTTTCTGTCTTTTCAGTTACAGATCATGCTCAGGTAAGACTGCTTACAGCTTGTGCGTTTAACACACTGTGTTCTGTCGCATGATGATTTTATGGCTATCCGACATCTTCCAGTCGAAGAAGGACCTTGAAAACGGAGAAGTGGACATTGCCAAATGCTCCAGAGGACAGTACTTCGGGGAACTGGCGTTGGTCACCAACAAGCCTCGGGCAGCCTCAGCTTACGCTGTAGACAACGTGAAATGCTTAGGTACTGACACATCAGTCCCTTCTCAAAGGGTTATAATGCAAGACGTTGTCTCTGGTTCATCTTAATACCCTCCTTACATCCTCGCCTTGTCTTCCGAAAGCGTGTGCCTTATGCCTTAGTGTTGTGTGTCTTTGATCTTCACAGTGATGGATATCAAGGCCTTTGAGAGGCTGCTGGGCCCCTGCATGGATATCATGAAGAGGAACATAGCAAATTACGAGGAGCAGCTCGTCACCTTGTTTGGAAGCCAAACGGACACTGAGGACGAAAACCTATGAGTGCCGCTGCCACAGATGGAAACTGAGGAACCACCGCTAGCAAGAAAGGCGAGCGGTGACCTTCCTGTAACCAAGGATTCTCCTGTTGTCATCTTTGGATGTGCAAAATCCAAAACAAACAATAAATTTTTCGAGGCATTGCAGCCATGTTATATTGGCGTACTTCCAGACGGGAAGAGGGAATGCTTTAATGGATGTTCACTGCTGCAATGATCTCCTGTGATTACCTGCGTGACGTGGCATCAAAACAATGTCAATGCAACTCCGCAGTGTTACTCTTTTCCACCTATAGTCATCTATTGCCCTGATTTACCTCACTGGTTTAGTATTACTACTTAAATCCACTCCTATCCAATACAGACAGTGTTAAAAAAATTGACAAATACTGTTAAATCTTGTTAATGTCCTGTTGATTCTATTTTAATGTTTCATTAAAAAAAGAAAAAAAACAACTTTCCTTCACATAAAACCCCAAAGGTAGATTTATACACTTAATAAGCCATCTTTGATGCCACGTGAGACTTAATATTCATTATATAACAGCGTATTACATAAACTTGCTCATGTAATTTAAGACATGCCTTGAGTTATTTTTCATGCCTCTAGACTGTTTGGTGCGATTTTTACTGCCCGTGGCGTACTTGATGGCTGTGTGACACATCACAGTTGCCTGAGACACGACGAGGCTTCCTATTGTTTCTCTGGCAAGAGTATGCTTTTGATATAATTACCTCTGTGACTGTTCAACATAAAATTGGCATAATCGCAAAAACGGGAAACGTGCACTTTTTTTTTTTTTTACATCGCATTTTAGCTTTAGCGGCAGCTTACACTGTGGAGATTTGCCCAGAGCATCCATGCACGCTATACTTGAATTTTGAATTATCCTCAGTTCATTTAGTATGAATTTTAAGTAAACATTTAAAACGTGCTTACAAGGTCCGTGGCTTTACCTCACAGTTAATTTGCCTTTTCGTATCAGGTTCTCTTAAATGTATGTTTGGTCGAGAAACCGACAACTCGCTTCCATTTAACACCCCCATAACGAAGTGTAGCAATCCCCTGAATATCATTTTTGGTTTTCGCTATAATTTACTGGGTTATTATTGCCTACCTCTGCGAACTGATACCAACACCTTTGTTGCTGTCACTGTTCACGCAAACTCCTTTCTGGACAAGCATCTGTAATTCATTGCTTTATTATGTAACTATATTATTTAATGTTTAGAGTGTAACCTATTTAAACAGCATTGTATGATTAATGATTATCTTCTTTTTAAAGTTGACTACCCCCATTTCTATATATGGAATATTGTAAAATCCCATATGATTCCAGATTGTGTTAGCAGCGCTTTCCCCTGTAATCTTTAAAAGGTCTAAAGACTTGAGTGCCGGGATATTTTCAATATTATACCGTTTGATTATATTGAATTTTCATTACAATAAAATGCGGTTTTCTAATAAAACGCTCGTGATCCTATATTTCATAGCCTAAATCAGCTGAATCTCTTAATTGATCTTAGAAGCACTGACCACTTAGAACAACACATGCAAACAAAAATGGGAAAAAAAACACAAGAACTAAAAACACGAACACGGTCGAGGTAACCCATAACAGATTATTGTTTGTGTAATTTCCCCAGTGTGGCGTAATACTTGCAGTCAATTTCATTTTCTGGGTCTTTAATAATATATTAATCTGGGGGAGTGGCTTAGTCTTTTGACCATTTAACGGCAAAGGAATGATGACTGACATAGAATGAAGCCAATGAACGAGAAGAAAAACAAACACATCCAACGGCATCATGCCGCTCAGCCAATCGCTGGAAAGCACTCCTGTATATTGACATTTGACAAAACCAATAAGTTTTCCGGTCTGCAGTAATTGTCTCCTCCTTTTGAGAGAATGTCACAGATTCTGTAATGGCGACGGGTTTGGTAAGTAACTAGGAAAGTTAGAAACAAACAGAAACAAAACGACACAACTAAGAGAAACGAACTCTTCTATAAGCAGTGGACTTGTGTCGGATAAAAGCGGAAGACTGACACTGATTGCATCGACTGTCATTGGTGACGCTTGCCATAATGTCATTTTAAGATTTAAGTTTGTGTTCTTTTGTGCTTCGTAATGTTAATGGTTTTAAAGAAACTCACCATCGCTTATAATTCGGACACAGCTGACACTTTCAGAAAGTATTGTATCCCGTTCATTCATTTACCATTGTGTTTGACGTAGACCGTCAGCTTCATTGTGCGTGGTTGTTGTCTTACTCGTTTAAAAACTACATGTTTTTAAAGTTATGTTTTGTTGTGCGTCCTCGGTCAACAAAACGATTACGCGTCTTTCAATATCGGGAGAACTTCGCAGTTAATTCATCGCCATTCTTTTGTCAAAAGAGCTTGTCACTGCTATTTTTATGTAATAAAAATACTGGAAATAATTGGAACTGAACACGTACTCAATGAAAACAGATGTTGCGTCCGAATTCATTTATAATATAGTAAACGAATAAAACCTTTTCCAAAAATAAAACTTTCACAACAAAAGACGCACGCTCATTAATATCGTGTCATTAATCGTGTGCGGTTAGCCCGTCGACACTTTATTGTATAAAAGAGACGACGGACTGTATCGTCATTGACTAGTTTTTGTTACGCAGTGCTGAATGAATGACCTGAGGGGCGCATGCGCGAGCCTCGCATTTATAAACAGGGCTCGCGTGCTGAGTCACGTGATGGCCTCTGCCTGCCATAAGGTGGTCTTCAATTTTTAATATGCATCATTAAAAACAATTTAAACACAAAATCATCGTAATGTGCCCTGTCAGTTGTTTGTGGACAAGTATTTGTTTTTGACAGGACCAGAAACTTTTCAACAATGCATTATCCATTGCTGAAGTTTACATGTTAGACGGCCACTCCTCTCGTTGTTTACTCTAACATTATGTAACCCCCAACCCATACGAATGACCTTTCTGGCGCCGGGATTGACTGTTTATGTAATCGCTCACTATACTGGCATGGCCTCACATTACTGCCTGCCCTTGTATGACATGGCTGCTGGCTAGGACAGAGGTTTTTCTGTGGTTGCTGTTGACATCTACGGACTGTCGTTGCAGTCACGGTGCAATATGGTGTGGGAGGTGAAGCCCCAACAGGTTCCCGACAGAAGAGAGCGACCCCAGCTGGTGAAAGTACAGGACGGCACAAGGACAGACATGCCAGAGTGCAGAGGGGACCTGCAGCGCTCTCCTGGACGAGAGGAGTGTGGTAAATATTGGAAGACACACTCAGCTGGTCACACAGGGACAACTGTAGTCAGATAACCAACCAGCTGACTGAACATGGGTGGGGTTAGAAGTATCTTAAAGAGACAGGTCCCAATTTCATAATCTCAAATTCCTGGACATTCTGCACCTTGGTGGTGTGCTTTCCTGTTCCTCTCAGATGATCTGCCGGACCTAAAGGAGGTCCAGGAAAGCAGACAATCACCAGAGGTGTTCCAGGTCGCAGCAGGAGTGTCCCACCACGAGCAGCAGTGGGACGCCCCCAATGCCGGCTGGCTGACGGAGCTAGCTAACATCGCCACGAGCCCCCAGAGCCCCCTTCTGCAGGGCCCCACCTGCGAAAGGTCAGCGCACTCTTCATCTGATCCTGTCCCCTTCTGAACAAACCCTGGGAAAGGCTTCCCTACAATTCCCAAACCCCTCATCTGACATGCCGTCAGTCCCCTCCACGTCTAGCGCACTCACTTAAGGTTTTTATTTACATTTAATTAGCAGAAGCCTTCATCCAAAGCAAAGTGCAGTTGAGAGCCCAGGGTCGGCCAATCCTTGGAGCGGTTGGGGTTAAGGGCCTTGCTCAGGGGCCCCAATGTTGAAATTGGTCTGCCAACCAAAGGATTTGAGCCGGTGATCTTCCAATCGCAGGCACAGATGCTCAGCTCAGAGAGCGAGACACTCAAGGGTTAAATCAGAATCAGAGAGGAGAGGCAGCCCTGTCAGGCACAGAGCAGAGTGGATCCTGAATAAGCTACTCTGTACTTTAGTTTTAGTTATCGTATGTATTAATGATCACAGTCTTGGTCATCATTACATTTGAAGCGCCATTCTGAAAACAGCCAGAACTCTAAACATCTAAACTCCTTCACTCATACAGCCCAGTCCTCTAAATCCCTAACCCTACTGCTCCACCCTCCCTCTTGTGTCAAAGTAGATCCTCCTCTGTCCACATCTTCAGCACCAGCAACAGTTTACATTCCTACGCTCGCATGCCCCCAGCCCCTAGCAGCACGCCGAGGTCGTCCCGGAGCCAACGGAAGTCACGGATCCGAACCCGGGTATAATCTCTGACCCTGCCACAGCGACCGGCCCGACCAGCACGTATGACGGACCCTAAAGTGATCCGTATGGCTGCCTGATCTTGTACCATCTCTGTACTGGCCAGGCGAGTGGTGTGAGGGACCCTGGGGCAATGACATGGGCTGACAATGACATGGGCTGGTCTCATTCCTGGCCTTCCACAGCTTGGCACTGTTTCCTGAAAGGTAGGTGCCTTATTCTGTCTGGCGAATTCAATAAACTCACTCTAGGTTTCCCCCCTACCTCTGATTTGTGCAAAATTCAGCAATCATTTGATGGAACTCTAAGCCGTCTTTCTGCAGAAGCCACTCGCTGTGCCACAAACGGGTAGCTTTAATGTCTAATTTACCAC